CCTTATGACAGTAAAAAAAAATGAGCCTTACATGATAATATAAAAAAAAGAGACGAGAAATTGACATAATCATAGCAATCCTTAAGACAGGAGGATGGGAAAATATTTCAGCAATGTGGCAACGCCGTTACTTCCCCGCCTCCCACCACTCGTTTGCTGCGTGAAGAAAACAAAAGAAGATGACCGTTGAGCCAAGGAAGATGGAAATTCCACCCCCGAACCAGTAACGGCCGAGGGGTCGCGGTATTCGCCACTTGGTATGACTTGGTCTGATCAGTCTTGCTGCCTGCGTATCATTAGCGTGTCGCCGCTCAGATTTTTCGTCTGTGTTGTTTTAAATTCTATGTATTTATTGTTTTTTCGCTGGACTGTTTAACAAATTATCAGTATAAACTTACCTTATACCTGAGAGTTGTGCTCCAGCCATCAAATGCACTGCTTTGTGTTCCGAGGACACAATTTTACTTCAATATTTTCTCCATCGATAACGCTTCATTTGAACAAACACGCAAGCACAACATTGTAAGTACTATTGCCTTATTTCACTTCAAAGCACAATCCAAGGTAAATTAATTATTTCAGAGACAAAGCCAATTTTATACCCTTGTATCCCAATGTAATTTTTGCTTGTTTTTCTTTTAAATCAGAGTAAAGCAGCGACATCGCTTATGCAATTCTAAACGCGCGGTTAATTCTTCAATTTAACATTTTTCTGGTTATACTGTTAATTCAATATGTTCCATTTTAGTTAAATTTTTCAGTTGTCGATGGAAAGAATCCCCGCAGCAGCTCTGCAACTCGGCGGCAAAGCTACGAGCCTCTCTCACAATGACTGTTGTGTGGTTTGAATTCTTGACAGCGTGTGGGAGATGGTTTGTAGCAAAAATTTTCACCTTCAAACTACTTTTATTATAGTACCTACATTCACACTGTTGCTGTAATAGGGCGGAGGATGAGCTTACTTCAGGAGGAATTGGATAAACTTCTGGTGAGTCTGTGTTTTTTTAACTTTTCCTATAATCATATGTTTTTATGGTTTTTTCCCCTTCATTTTTCTGTTGAAAAAAAACTGCAAAGTGAGAATGGATATCCATGTACTTTTGCTTCTATACTATTTACAATCTTTTTATAATAGATTCTCATCAGACCGAGACCTTGACTCACTGGAAATCAACGATCAGGAGAATTCAAGCTGGCTGGGATTCAACGATCAGGATCATTCAAGCTAGTTGGGATTCAACGATCAGGATCATTCAAGCTCGTTGAAATTCAACGATCAGGATCATTCAAGCTCGTTGAAATTCAACGATCAGGATCATTCAAACTCGTTGGAATTCAATGATCAGGATCATTCAAGCTCATTGGAATCCAATGATCCGGATCATTCAAGCTCGTTGAAATCCAATGATCCGGATCATTCAAGCTCGTTGAAATCCAATGATCCGGATCATTCAAGCTCGTTCAAATCCAATGATCCGGATCATTCAAGCTCGTTGAAATCCAATGATCCGGATCATTCAAGCTCGTTGAAATCCAATGATCCGGATCATTCAAGCTCGTTGAAATTCAATGATCAGGATCATTCAAGCTCATTCGGGCGCATTAAAATTCAATGATCAAGTGAACGATCTGGATCATTCAAATTTGAATGAGCTGACGAAAAACTCATTCAAATTGAATGATCCGGATCGTTCATTTTTCAATGAGCTTGAATGATCCATTTTTTCTCGGGACACCCCATATTTCTCACCTCCACATAGGTCTCTTTGGTAGAAATACGTCCAACTAAAGGGAACTCTCAACAGAATAAACTGCCACTTCACTCGTAGTTCAGGGCCGTGCGTGCACTTAGAAAATCTTGACCTCAAATGATATCAGACATTTTGAGGGTTGAAACGGAAAAGGCAGGTGGACAGAGTGAGAGTTACTTTTCCTTTCTCCTTTTGTAATTTTCGAAGGTTTAATACTTGGATTGCATTTTGCAAAAAGGAACCACTAGCATTGCAATGTTGCTAAAATTGTGCAACTTCTTTTGTCTTTGAGGAAAAACCCGATTATCCATTATTAATTTCTATTTTACTCGCTAAAAACTGTGAATTTAAGACAAAAATTACCATCTAAATTTCATAGTTTTTCACGATTTCCGCAATTTTATTGCAAAAGATGAAGTTGCACAATTAGCATCATTGCAATGCTAGTGGTTCCTTTTTGCAAAATGCAATCCACTTTTTCCCCCCTCTTATTTTTTTTAAATTTTTTCAAATACATACTAATTTTGTGACAATTTATAGGGCTAACAGAATTTTTTTACCCTTCTAGAGGGTTTTATGGGGGTCATGAATGGAGACGATGCATATGTGAGGATTTTGCGATTGGAATGCTGATTCTACTGTAAAAGTTGTGGAGAAACACGATGGTGCCACTGGTTTTCTCTGAAATCAACTCCCAAACTCAAAAAAAGCTCTCAAGTTGAGGCCAATATGGAGGTGATATCCCACACTATCCTGAGAGTCCACGTCTACATCAAGACGAACTCTCCATGCAAAAGATAGGGAGCAAATTCATTGACAGTGTTGCCGTGTTTTCAGTTTTACAGTCCCAAAATAAAGTGACAGCTCTGTCAATGTGTTTGCTCCCTATCTTCGCTTAGAGAGTTCGTCTTGATGTAGAGGTGGACTCTCAGGATAGCGGGGGATATACCCTCCATTTTGGCCTCAACCTGAGAGCTTTTGTGAGCTTGGGAGTTGATTTCAGAGAAAACCAGTGGCACCATCAAGTTTCTCGACAACTTTTATATAAGAATCAGCAGTCAAATCGCTAATTCTCACGCATGCAACATCTCCATTCTACGCAAAATTCTGATTGAGATTCATGTGCTAATAGCCTCCAATTCTTCCCCTGTCCAGAGGCTCTTTGCAACAACTACTATCGAACATTCTTCTTTTTCTGAATAAATAAGAATGAGTTATACTGTTGTGCTGTGACTTACAAAGCAGGTTGGCGATTGTGGAGAACGGAATCTGTTTATGCCCCATCTCGTGGAATGTTCTTTTTATATTTTACACCTTCTTGGAAAAAATATCGCCTGGCGACCCCTGAAAAAGAAGAACCAATTAAAATACTTCATCAATAAGTAATGTCATAAAATGTAAATGTTTTTCTTCCTCACTGAAATATTGTTGGTTCTTACTGAGAATTGATTGCAACATATTCAACAGGTATCTATTTATTTTTATTTGCTTCATTTACACTTTGCAAAATAGAAGTTTAGACAAATATTACGTCAGAAAGGAGAACTCCATTCAAGAGAAATAAATTTGCTAACGTACGGGCCAACTGCTGAATAAATCACTTCAGGTCAATGTGACATGACATTTATCTAATGTTTTCTTTACCGACGTTCAACCAATTAGACAGGGTTAACCAATGAAATTTATAAGACTGGAACACCCACTCGAACATTAGAGATCTGTCCCGATCCTCGGACATCTCATCCGTGATCAACCCCAACTAAGAACAGGAAAATAATTAAATACTCTCAAACATAACTCACACAACATGATAAGTATTCCTGTTTAGACCACAATAAGGAAGAAGCTCCCTTGAACTGCTTGCTCTGAAAACATTCAAGCAGTTTTGGCCACTTTTAATTTGAGATTCGACTTTCAAAAATGCTGCCTGCGGCAGTACCGCATCTAATTGCCTAAGTAGAACGGTCTGGAGAACTTATCGTTGAAGTGGTCGCTGGAAGTCTATTAGCTCATGCTGCTCGTATCGTATAAAAAACACAAGACAGACATGCCTAATAAGCTCGCAGCTTTTGCTTGTCGCGCGCCTAAAGCAAAAGCAGCTGGGGAGTTCCATCGATTACATAGGTACATAAGAGGGGGATTTAACAATTAATAGATAACAACACACAAAGCATCGTTTCAAAAAGCCGGGATTACGCAATTACGCCTGGCGAGGCTAAAATCTTCATAGCAAGTTGAAAACAACACGAATTAACAGAAATTTGGTCACTGGTTACATTTACAGAGGCACAAATTGAAATTGAAATACTATGTTAATATGCTTTTACTTAATTACTGCAATTTTTGAGCGTTATTTAGGAATCCTTCTTAGCAGTGCCGACCCTCGCAGATGTGCAAGAAGAAGAAGAAGAAGAAAAAAGAGAGAATCGATGGAATTTTTTCGCTCGCGGGCGCATTAAATCTGAAAAGATGCCGTTATTTTCGTCCGGATACAATGAGGAGGAGAGTGTTCAAAACATGTCCTCATGAACGTTGCCTGAAACAAAAACTTAGCAAGAGCATTGTGAACATTTTTGAGTAAACAATAAATGTTGAACAAGCTCTTTAACGATTAGTAAATAGCACAATATGGATTGTCACGCATAACTTATGGAGAATAATATGAGCTACCCAACACCGAAAACATGCATTTTTTTAAATTTTTTTTTTGTTTAGGTTTTTTTTTTAAGCTTAATTTTGAGTACCACATAACATCGCAGATTTTTTGAAGTGACCTGGACGATTACCTCAGCAATCATTCATTCATGCGGATCTCCGCAATTTCTTCCGGGTTCTTGACGTCACGCAACAGCTCATCAACATTGTGCACTACTCCTTGCTCCCTTTTCAAAGATTCCGGCGTTTCCCGTGAATCCGCACTATAAAACACTTCGTACATTTTGCCAACCGTTAAATCAGAGTCTTTGCCCACTCCTTTAAAGAAAGCAACCGGCACTTCGCCAAAAGAATTATTCAGGTAGCGAACATACGCGCGAATTTCGAATGCCATTTTAGTATGTTAGTTTAAAACTGTTCAGATCAATCAATGATAAGATAACGAAAGCACTGACGAGACTCGACATTGATATCGAATGGATACTTAGCGTAACGATGTCGATCAACCTTGATTTGCTAAAGTGACCGTTTTCCCGCACTGCTCGCATTAATCTGGCTAAGTTGCTGATCACCACCCTCGAAGGAAATTTAAAATTAAACAGGTATTGGGGGAGTGTGCGCGACATTTGCAATTGTGTTCAATAGTGATAAGAACGGATCACGATTTAGGCGCCGTTGCTCTCGATGCCATAGAAATTCGCAGAGGTGGTCTGCTAATGCCTCGCGCGTGATTCCTCCGCGAGCGAGTCTTCTACGCATGGGCCTCCAGTGACTCTCAATTGTATTTGTGTGCGTACCATCGGCAGCCACGAAGGTATCGCTATGATTTACGGTGCTGTGTTTGTAACCGTGCTCTTTTAGAGCAGCGTATGACGCCCAGCCGTCCGTATTTATCTCCGTTCCTGCAACAAAAATTAATTCAAAATATATTAGTTAAGGAACATTAAAATTAAGGGTTTTTTTATTATATTTTTGCACTATATTTAGCTAAATAAATCAAGTTTTGTACTTTTTCACCATCCTCACCAACTCGTGAGGGTTATTATAGTTTATAATGCGGCCGAAGACCGCCACTCAGAACCACTTTTTGAAAAGAAAAAAGAAAAAGAAAAATGAAGAAAAATTAAAGAAAAATGAAGAAAAAATGAAAATGAAATGAAAATTAGGAAAAATGTATTACTTTATAATAGTTACCTTTTTCCACGTGTTTAATGATGAGAGACATGAGAGTTGTTTCATCGCGTTTGTTATTTGGACAAATTTCCAATCTAAACTCTTTTGTGTCGCGATCTATTAGACCAAGGATCCAGTTTCCCTCCACCACTCTTCCTCATGTGGTACTTCCGCCTCCCAAGCTTCATTTCATCGATTTCGACGAGATGCCCGTCTCCGCCGATAAGCCCGCCGTCTGCTTCATATTGTTTGTCTAATGCGATTGTGCACATCTCGCGACAAAATGTATACCAGTTAGCAATAGTTTCACGACTAACAGTGGTATCTTCATCTGATAAGTTGCATTCATTTATGACCTGTTTATAAGAAAATTGAAAAACTTTTTCTACTTCAATATGACCGCCCACAAACCAGGTACCTTCACTTTGTGTAATTTTAATGTTTTTTTTATTTGGGTGCCGACTCCTTTTCTGACATCTGAAAGTTCCAATAACTTTGTTATCACTGTACAATAAACTCATTTCACTTCCACAAGATGGACAAATCTTACTTGGTGGCAATAAATTATGTATGAATACAAATTCTCGCAATTGAACATGTGTTGCAAATTCTTTTGCTAATTTCACTAAACTCATGTGCGGAGCCATTTTTGCAAATTATAATAAAAATTAAAAATACAATTTCACAATCAAAACTCGGGAAGAAAAACCGCACGTCGAAATCACAATCAAAATGACCGGTGTTTTTCAATGCAACCGGAAACGGAAATTGAAAAATTACGCTAAGAAAAAAGCGTACGTGAAAATAGCCCCACTTTGTGTGCAATGTGAAAATTGTGGCACCAGAGTGCGCGAAATAACCGGTGTTTTTCAATGCGACCGGAAACGGAAATTGAAAAATTACGCTGAGAATAAAGCGTATGTGAAAATAGCCCCACTTTACGTGAACTCCGGAAACCATCTCGGCTAATTAAATTTCATTCAAAATGTGTTTGTGATTGATTACGGGCATCGTATGTTCTTCTAAATAAGTTTAAATTAAGGAGCCCGTGTACCGAACTGCGTAGGGAGTACCGTTGATGGGTCTAAAAAGGAGCCCGAGTACCGAACCTCTTCCATCATATCAACTTCTGCTTACCTTTAATCGCGATTAATTTGGCCCAGTAGTAGCCCGCTGATCCCTGGATCTCCGCAATTTCTTCCGGGTTCTCGACGTCACGCAACAGTTTATCAACATTGTGCACTACTCCTTGCTTCCTTCTCAAAGATTCCGGCGTTTCCCGCGAATCCGCACTATAAAACACTTCGTACATTTTGCCAACCGTTAAATCAGAGTCTTTGCTCACTCCTTTAAAGAAAGCAACCGGCACTTCACCCGAAGAATTATCCAGGTAGCGAATCTACGCGCGAATTTCGAATGCCATTTTAGTATGTTAGTTTAAAACTGTTCGGATCAATCAATGATAAGATAACGAAAGCACTGACGAGACACGGCGATGATATCGAATTGATACTTAGAGTAACGATGTCGATCAACCTTGATTTGCTAAAGTGACCGTTTTCCCGCACTGCTCGCATTAATCTGGCTAAGTTGCTGATCACAACCCTCAGAGGAAATACCAGCCTCCGGCGGGCAACTGCAATTAGAGGGTATGGGTGTTGGTGGGGGTTGGACAAGTGGTGACGTATAGCTGGTATCCCTCTGACCGCACCAAGAAGCGCTGCAGAAGGAGGGGGTGTAATCTAGCCGGTGGCCGACGTACTCGGTCGAGGGGGAAACTTTCCTTCGCTGATTATTATGTTGAGTCAGTAGCAGCGAGGAGGGGAAGGTATCAATGGACCACTAGACAAGGTACGAATTTCAGCATTCTGATACATGTTTATCAACCAAAATTTCACGTAGAACACGATACGCACAACGAAAATTACCAAAATCAACTCCTGACGAAGATATTTAATGATTCTTAATGCGTGAATTCAAACCACCCGCTCATGAAAACTCAATGCTCTACGTGATTCACATCGCGCGCTAAATGTTTATCATGGCAGTCTCTGCGATGTAAAAATCTTCAACTTCAATCTTGACACTTTGGCTCAGCTATAGCAAATTACCAATAGTTTGAACAACACATGGTGGAAAATGAACATTGCTCGATTGAGAAGCTTGCTGAAACCGTTGTAGTGCGCGATTTGACTCACGTAGAGCTTTGAGTTTCTTGTGAGCGGACAGTTCAAATTCCTCGTAATCAGTGCGAAATAAAAACGTTAATATCTTCGTTAGAAGTTGATTTCGGTAATTTTCGTAGTGTGAATCGTGTTCTACGTGAAATTCTGGTTAAGAAACATGTATCAGATTGCTTAAATTCGTACCTTGTCTAGTGGTCCATTGAACAGACATTCAAGAACCATACCCGTGCTTTCTACAATTTTTCCTTCCTTATCTCGTAAAGGCTAGAAAATTGCCCACAGATAACAAAAACGTGTTTTCGCCGACCTTTCGCCGGTCCTGCAAAAGGATCGATTCGAGTACTGGCCTTGCTAAGGAAGAACGCCGTACGAACCTTCGAGAGTTGCCAAATTTCCTTTCGTAAAATGTTTACTTACGAGGAAAATTCTGCATATTTTTCCTTGAAATTTTCAGGGTCTTTAGATTAGAACACGAAGAATATTTTCTGGACAAGTGGAAGAAAAATATTCCTAAGTTTACCGGGGAATTTGTGTTTAATAGAAGAAAATTTGGCAACGCCTGAAGTTTCATACGGCGTTTTTGCTTAGTAAAAGAACAACTTAATTTGGGGAAAAGGCTGCAAATAAAGAAAAAGGAATAAACAAAACCCGGAAGGGCTACGAGTTTGCTCCAACGGGAGTTTTCTAAGTGCAAAGTCGTCAGGATTATCAAATCTTGACTTCTTTTTCTTTTGTGGCGAAACGCCAGAGTCCGGGAGAGAGGACGACGCCATAATGCTTGCCATTACTGATGGCCCAGGATCGGAGGTTTACTTCTTTCAGCGCGGGCGTCAAAGTGTGACGCTTGAAAGACCATTTCTCTATACTGTGTAACTGCCTGTGTGTTTGGCTTTGGCAGAAAGAGAATTCGCTGCTTGATACTGATCTGTTCAGAAAAATCACAGATATTATATCCTAAGTCAGAGACCTGTTCAATTGTTTGCGCAAGGCGATCCTCTCGAATAATCATCAGCGCACTAAGCTGGTTACGAGCGTCTTTATGCTGAGTTGCTGACATGTAGAGATGCCTTTGAATGGCTGTGACTAGCTTATGCTGATCCTCATCTTCCATTTCCGAGAATGCTCGTTTACGACCTCTTCTTAGTGACCTGTCTAGATTAGGCCTATAAAACATAACCTCACGACTCGGATCTACGTCCATAATTTGGTACGCTAGGTCGTTCGCATACGTCGAGCTGAACTTATTAGTGTCCTTGAGGTTAATATTGACTGGAGGTAATTCAACAATTTCTTCCATGTCAATTGCACCTTCTTCAAATTCCATTGGCAGTGGTGCCTGCTCGGCCTGTGGCGATCGGGGTTGGTATTCTTCCTCATGTGCGAGGATCTCATCTAAATCATTAGCTACACCTTCAGGTAAGTGCAGAGGTTCCGATGGGTCGTATTCGGGAAAACTATCCTTGAACGTCTTCGAATTAAGCGTTCTCTGGACTGTGTATGGCGTCTGATCGTTTATTTTTAGATCTTCAATGTCCTCGTATACCTCAACGAGGTCACCATAACTTCTGATGGCCTGCGCATATTCTGCCTCGATATCATATCCAGCTTGACCTGAGAATACGATCATTGCTTGGGGAAACTCTAAAGTTTCGTAAAGAGCAAATAAGGAAACAAAGTCCTTGGTGGCGATAAACTGATACGTACTTTGTGCAATCTGTTGTAAAGATAAATCGATCGCTGGGATGAACCACGACCTATCGTTGACATCGGCTAAGCGCGTTACACTCATATTCTTGTCTTCTTTAAACGCAAATCTCAATACTGGTGTGGGACTCAACTAACACCAAAAGCTTTCAGCGAAAACACGGGGCGGTTTTCGCCAGGCTTGTAATCAAAATCCTGAAAGAAAAACCCAAATGAATTTGGGGAAAAACCCCAATTTGCAGCCTTTTCCTCAAATTAAGTTGTTCTTTTATTATGTATATTTTGGCTAATTAAGTTGTTTCTCATTCTGTATAGCTTTTGCTTAGCACGGCAGAGCAGGCATGTCGGTAGATCACGATGACACGCTGAGCAAAACACGACAAAACTTAGTTGAACCACCGTTTTATGATAGCAAGAATTCCAAGAGAGAATTTCATAGCTCTCTCAGGGAAAACAAAATTCGGGGGAAAATCGGCANACGTGATTCACATCGCGCGCTAAATGTTTATCATGACAGTCTCTGCGATGTAAAAATCTTCAACTTCAATCTTGACACTTTGGCTCAGCTATAGCAAATTACCAATAGTTTGAACAACACATGGTGGAAAATGAACATTGCTCGATTGAGAAGCTTGCTGAAACCGTTGTAGTGCGCGATTTGACTCACGTAGAGCTTTGAGTTTCTTGTGAGCGGACAGTTCAAATTCCTCGTAATCAGTGCGAAATAAAAACGTTAATATCTTCGTTAGAAGTTGATTTCGGTAATTTTCGTAGTGTGAATCGTGTTCTACGTGAAATTCTGGTTAAGAAACATGTATCAGATTGCTTAAATTCGTACCTTGTCTAGTGGTCCATTGAACAGACATTCAAGAACCATACCCGTGCTTTCTACAATTTTTCCTTCCTTATCTCGTAAAGGCTAGAAAATTGCCCACAGATAACAAAAACGTGTTTTCGCCGGTCCTGCAAAAGGATCGATTCGAGTACTGCCGTGCTAAGGAAGAACGCCGTACGAACCTTCGAGAGTTGCCAAATTTCCTTTCGTAAAATGTTTATATATGAGGAAAATTCTGCATATTTTTCCTTGAAATTTTCAGGGACTTTAGATCAGAATACGAAGAATATTTTCTGGACAAGTGGAGGAAAAATATCCCTAAGTTTACCGGGGAATTTGTGTTTAATAGAAGAAAATTTGGCAACGCCTGAAGTTTCATACGGCGTTTTTGCTTAGCACGGCAGAGCAGACATGTCGGTAGATCACGAGGACACGCTGTCCAAAACACGACGAAACTTATTTGAACCACCGTTTTATGAATGCAAGAATTCCAAGAGAGAATTTCTTAGCTCTCCTAAAAATTTTTCTTAAGGAAATTCGGTAACTCTCAAATGTTCGCACGGCCTTTTTCTCAACTTGGCAGTGTATCAGTGGGTCAAAGGGGCAAGACACTCGAAAACTCTTAGATTCTACCGCTAGCCCCTTTCCTTACCTTTAGGAACACTTTTTGCAACAGGTTAAACTAAAAGAGACACATGCCAGTAGGTCACGAGGTAAGGACATGATTTCCGAAATGTGACGAAACTTATTTGAACCACCGTTTTATGAACGCAAGAATCCCAAGAGAGAATTTCACACACGGAAAAAACAAGACTAGTGTTGAGCACTACTGGCCGTTTAGTGGGGAGTAGTTGAGGGCTGGCGTCTAAGCGCTGTACAGCTCAACATCGGAAGGCAGTACCAGTGGGCACTGAACATGAGTAGTGCTAATCAGATGCCGCGAGACGTAGTTGCGCTTAACAGGTGTTAATTCACCTATGGGACGTCGGAGTCACAATAGCCTGGTGGTAACGCGCTGGTCTTCCACCGGCGCAACCCGAGTTCGATCCCAGGCGGAGGCGTTTCATATTTTACGCTCGCTCCAAAGTCACTTTAGGGCTTGACACTACTTTTTCCTTAGTGACCCATCCTCGAGCTGTTTAGTGCCCAGCACTCCTCTCACTTGCTGGCTCCATTTGATCTAACCCTCGTTAGTGCCCAGCACTAACATGTAGGTCCCAACCCTAAGCTCGTTTTTTCCGTGCAGCTCTCTCAGGAAGAAACATTTCGGGGGAAAATCGGCAACTCTAAAATATTCGCACGGCCTTTCCCTAAGTACGGCAGTGTATCAGTGGGTCACAGGGGCAAGAGACTCGAAAACGCTTAGATCATACCGCCAGCTTCATTTCCTTATCTTCAGAAACACTTCTTGTAAATAAAAGGAAACATGTCAGTGGGTCACGAGAACAGGACATGATTTACAAAACGTGACGAAACTTATTTGAACCTTATGAACGCAAGAATTCCAAGAGAGAATTTCATAGCTCTCTCAGGGAAAACAAAATTCGGGGGAAAATCGGCAACTCTAAAATATTCGCACGGCCTTTCCCCAAGTACGGCAGTGTATCAGTGGGTCACAGGGGCAAGAGACTCGAAAACTCCTAGATCATCCCGCCAGCTTCTTTTCCTTATCTTTTGGAACACTTCTTGTAAATAAAAGGAAGCATGTCAGTGGGTCACGAGAACAGGACATGATTTAGAAAACGTGACGAAACTTATTTGAACCACCGTTGAAGACCCAGGGTTTTCCATACAGGCGACTATTTTTTGTTGAAACAGCTTGGATTCTTTTTTTATTGAGGGGGGGGGGTTGCGATTCAGAAATTTTCAATTAGATTTTTTACTTCCCCCCTGCAATCCCCCTTCTATTCACCCCCTAATTTTTCACTGGAATTTCATCGCCCCTGGATGTGATACCGAATTATGACACAACTTCTAGATGACTCCCTTGATTTTAAGCTACTCCCCCCCCCCCCCGGATTTCTCCTTGGATTTTAAGGCATTCTCTCTGCTGAAGCCTTGAGTTAAATTGCACTTTGAATGAATGGATTTTTTGAATGAATGAATTTATTTTCATAAGTACAACAACAGGCAATATTTTACAAAGAAGAGCAATGCCAGAAGCAACAACTTGTAAGGCAGGTTTTACAAACACATCTAACAGAAAATATCCTTGGAAAAAAAAAAGTGAACAAAAAACTACAAAGCTTACCCCCAAGAGTACGTGGCAAGTGTTTCCGCCCGCGACTGAGGAGAAAAAAGTTCAACATTCTTTCACATAAACTTTAGTACAGTTATGAGAATTAAAACCATTTAAACATAGGTTGGCTGGACCTAATACCAAAAACGCACACGTGTGCGAACACCCTAAGACAGTTACTGAAGATCACTGTATCAGGAGAATAGTGTCCATTACAACTGCAAATTAACAGGTAGGGTCTTAATTATACATTAGATTTTTTATCCAGCTCACAATCTGCGTTAGAAATTTGCTTGGCTCCCAGAGGGAAAATTTCGTGTCCGGCTGCTCCCATTGGCTCGTTCCACCTAGTGACGTGCCGGTCATTAGCGTCTATACCCTGCGGAAAAGATTGTGGCACCAGAGCATCAAAGCTTTGGCGGTATCTCCGCGACCGGTCGTGAGGGTTGCGGAGCACCAGCATCTCGCTACGCGCGTCTTGTCCCCGGTCGTCTTCATTTCGGTTCGGGTTACGCAGCCGCCTTCCCCGCTGAGAGTCTTGCACTTTAGGATTTCCATGTCATCCGAACCGCTGACATCGCTCATGGCAGCCACGAATCTGATTGCCAAGCAGTAGATGCGGCAGATAGAATTCGCATCCTCGGTTGATACACCCTCGGCCATGTAATCCTCGCCCGTCATCGTAACCATGCAAGGGTCGATCATCTTTTCCATCAGGAAGAAAAGAGCGAATTTCACCTCTTTCTTCGGGAGTAGGTACTCGGGAACGTATCCCAATTGCTATGAACGGAACAAGTGAGTCAGTGGCGCAGATTATCAATACTCGATAGCAGTTCGATGTATCGTTTGGTTCAAAACAATAACATACCCTCAAACGAGAATTTTGGGATTTATGTTAGACAAGCTTAAGATGAGAAAATTCAAAACTATTTCTAACTGTCATTGCAGTATGGTGTTCATAAGAATAAAAAGTCGATTGGCTTTTTACTGTTGCTAAGGCAAAACGCCGTATGGACCTGCAGACGTTCCCCAATCTCCTTTCGTAACTCATTAATGCGTAAGGAAGTCTGTGAATATTTTTCTTTGAACTTTTCAAGTAGTTTTATGCGCGACCCGATCTAAATTAGTTGAAAATTTCAAGAGAAAATATTTATGACTCTCCTTGAAAGTAAACATTTTATCGTAGAAAATTCGCCACTCTCGAATGCTTTTTCCCCGGGCAGCATGGCAGATCTGAGGCTATGTTAACGTGAACGAATCGATATGGATACAACCTCACCTGTTGGATGTATCGAATACGATCCATAGCATAGTTCTGTCGCACGTAAGAGGCACAGCCTTGTGAGTAGACTTTTTAGAGGAAAAATCCGCTCGCTATGAAAGGGGGCGGTGAGTCGGTGGCGTCGCCTTTCAAATAGAACAGAATAGGTCCATTGCACGCAAGAGCTACAGCAGCAGCCGTGTGAATTGACTTGTGGAGGAAAAATGCCACGAAAATCACGATGGTCACGTGAAATGAAGTCTGAAATCCTCTCCTTTTTGCGCGATTTCCTTGGTTTGGAACATGCTTTTGCAGATTTCTCGCGGCTGAACCCAATCGAAAACTGTCCTCCCTCCCAAGAAATGTTTGTTTTCATTCACTGGAAAAACAAACAAATTGGATCCAGAGTCCAGACTCTTAAAAACATCGACAAGAAAAAGTGCTCTTGATTCAATCAGAATCTAGCTTAAATCGAGAACCAAGCCTCTTAATTTGAGCGGATTTCCTTTCGATTCAAGCAAGAATCCGATAGAATCAACAGTATTTTTTCTTGTCAATGTTTTCAAGAGTCTGGACTCTAGATACAATGTGTTTTGTTTTTCAGTGTACTTAATGTCTCTTCAAATTATGTATTTCTCAAACTTGCTTTAGGGTAGACGGTATGTTGGAATTTTTTAGCCAATGTGCGTTAAAAATCCAGAAAACTGGAAATCTCAATAGGGAGGAAAAAAGGTCATTCGAGCACAATTTTCCCTCAGAGAGAGAGTGTTGCACCAAACAGCGTATCTCCTCGAGGAAAAATTCGTCCAACTATCCCCCTGGAGGCAGATTTCCGGAAACCCGGTTTTTTGAAGCAAATATTTTGAACATGGAATGCTCCTGAGACTCTTAAGACGGTTAACCGAACTCATCAAGGAAACTCACCCTCCTTGCACTTGCTCGCCTATTGGCAGCCTCCAAAGTTCTTCTTGCGACGTTGACGAAGACTTCAAGACCGGGCCGCACAAAAGCTTCGTAGTTGTTGGAAAATACGATCAAATCGTTGATTCCGTAATAAGCGACAAAATGATCGATTTCCGAATCGTGAAGTAGGCTGTTGTTGACAAAGCGGAGGGCTGCATCCTTTTCAAATTTGAGATGGTCGACGCTGAGGCTCTCGAAGACTCGGACTAGTTTATCTTTCGGCTCGATGCCGAGCATCATTTGCGGGGGCAGCCGCTCTTCCTTCCATATTTTAGGATTGTACTCAACCGTCCATTCGGGGTACGGGCTCAACCTGTTCACGCTGTAGTAATTGGCCACCTTGTAGCTGGCAAAAGCATCCTCTTTGCTGAGAATCGTACAATTTATAGAGGCCTGGAATCAAATGGCCGTATGTAAGCGATTTTATCTATTGGATGACTAGTAATCGCTGCCAGGTAGCCAAGCTGCGAATTTAAGGATTCTGACGCACGTCTCCCGATTTGCGCAACGTAACACTCAGACTGACCGCGTTTAGCAGAAAGGAACCAAAGCCACGTCAGCTATTCCCAAATTTAATCGAGCAATTTAAGTTTTTGCAAGAAAGCGTTCGTGCGAACTTTTTTAAAATTTTGAAGAAATTCGTTTCATATCATACATAAAATTCACTGCAATTTGCCGAAAAAATTCGCACAACCGTTTTCATGTAAACGATTAAATTGCCCAATTACATTCGACAGCGCTGATGTGACTTAGTTCCTCTCTGCTTAAGACTTGCGTTACAGCATACGGATTGTTCTTATGAAAAAACAGACCTACAATTTTTAGAAAAATTGGCAACGACGTAGATTTACTAACTCCAGAAAAAACAAAGTAACCTATCTTTATCTTTTTTATGCACTGAACCCAGTTAACAGCCAGAATGGAATTACAGCCATGTAACTCTAGACCTTGGATGACAACCTCTTTGAATTCATAGTCATTTGTTTAAACCCGTACTCCAGAGCCGTAGTCAACATCTACTTCGAATTTTAATGAACCACTAGATAAGGTACGAATTTCAGCATTCTGATACATGTTTCTTAACCAAAATTTTACGTAGAATACGATACGCACAACAAAAATTACCGAAATTAACTCCTTACGAAGATATTTAATTATTCTTAATGCGTGAATTCAAACCACCCGCTCATGAAAACTCAATGGTCTACGTGATTCACATCGCGCGCTAAACGTTATCATGACAGTCTCTGCGATATAAAAATCTGGCAACCTCAATCTTGACGCTTTGGCTCAGTTATAGCAAATTGCTAATAGTTTGAACAACACATGATGGAAAATGAACATTGCTCGATTGAGAAGCTTGCTGAAACCGTTGTAGTGGGCGATTTGACTCACGTAGAGTTTTGAGTTTCTTGTGAGCGGGCAGTTCAAATTCCTCGTAACCAATGTGAAATAAAAACGTTAATATCTTCGTTAGGAGTTGGTTTCCGTAATTTTCGTTGTGTGAATCGTTTTCTACGTGAAATTCTGGTTAAGAAACATGTATCAGATCGCTTAAATTCGTACCTTGTCTAGTGGTCCATTGCGACCAATTCCAGTCCATGAACTGTTGATGTCTCTCAGTTAATGTCTTGCAAATATTTATAAAGTTTTTGATTTTTCGAACAAGGTCTTTAAAGTATTGGTGTTTTGCTTCAAAGCGCATGCACTAATAATAATTTACTGGGTCTAATGCTTTAAGGACATCAGGATAGTGTATTAAAAAGTGCTGTTTAGGTGTGAATATAGCCGGGTAGAATTCTTCCATAAATAAACGGTGATGGTCTTGAATTAATTCTCGCAGGTATGCAATCATTCCGTCTGTGAGGACTGGAGAAAACACTATCTCCATAATTCTCAATAATAAAATTATCACCTCCCATTTTGTTGTTGCTCTTCCGTTTTAATTAAATCACCGATTATTAAGGGCAAGAACCTAATCAAACACCAAGTTTGAGAAGCACTCTGCCCCCAATTTCTTTTGGCCTGTCTCAAAGTTTATAACGCTCGGTCTGTTTGATTCCTCTAACTCCCCATAATCATTATTCGAGATTCTGAATGTTATTGTTTCCTTCAGGTCAGAGCCATTGCCCACCAAAAAACCTAAAAACATTTTAATTTTAAGAGGTACAACACCTTCCAGTAAATCGTGGAACGCATCGACACAAAAATAATTCAAACTATTCAGTAAGCACGGTTTTTTAATACCATAAACAGGTTTTTGTGCAGTTAGACATTCCTCCAAGTGTAATCTGTAGTTTTCAGTGGTGCGCATGGATTGCATTAATGTGAGTGGCGAGACCTGATTCTTGCTTGTGAGCCAAACAAAATCGACAATAGTAACAAGCAGTAAAACTTTCAACCATACCCATCATGCTGTGGCAACCTAAATTATCAAAGCTGACATTGCAAAGGTTTGCTTTGAATGCTTTAATTCGAATTCAAGACACCCTAAAACAATGTGTGGATCGATTCTGAACCCCTTTCATTGTAAAATTTCACGAGGAACTCTTCAAATAACTCGGTAATGTTTTAATACAATTGCTTGCGCCGAAGACTCTCCTGATGAGAACGCATTTTACGAGGAAAATGAGGCAATATGAAATGTAGTTACGCTCTTTGGTGGGAGAAACGACTAACTCATAAGGAGCACACATCACATTTTCACGTTGTAGATTATCTTTTTTAAGATGTTACCAGTTATCAGAACCGAAAGTACGGTCATACGACGCACAATGGATCGAGTCATGAAATTATCAGGAGGTTGGTGTTAGGTTAGTGGGCTGCTCGGTGAAGCCGTGGTTGTGGGAGAGCGGAGAACAAAAATAACGAATAAGAAGTTTCGTGGAACTTCGCGTATATTGTTCGTAATGAAATAATAATAGTGCACGAAATAAAACTCAGCAAAAACTAAGAATTTTGAAAAGGAGAAAAAGAAGCTCTTAATGTGCGTCACGCAACCTCCGGCCCCAAAATGGCCGGTCCTCCTCTCTCCTAATGATCGTCGATTGTGGCGCTTTGCGCGGAGAGATTTGGAAGTGTGAAATTTGAAAAAGAAGCGGGAAGTAATTGGAGGTGCTAACAGTTGGACATTTTTTTTTAATTAAAACTGCGAATTTCGAGGTTTAATTCGTCACATTTCAAATTTTAAGGGGTGCTCATAGAAGACAAATTCACAAGGAAACCAATGGAACTACTCTGAAACCCTCAAAGTTTAGTATGAGCGGAGTTATGAGCGTTTAAAGTTTTCAAATTTTGTCCGATCTCTGATGAAATTTTTAACTAAAACTGCGAATTCGATGTTCAATTCGTCTCATTTTAAATTTTAAGGGGTGCTCATAGTAGAAAAGTTCACAAGGAAACCGATGGAACCACTCTTAAACCCTCAAAGTTTGGTAAGAGCGGAGTTATGAGCGTTTAAAGTTTCCAAATTTTGTCCGATCTCTCCTAATGACTCGATCAAATGTGCGCGACGCGGATAAAATCGTTGAACGCGATCACTGCACATTTTTTCGAACATTTTTTCTCAATTGCACGAAGGGCAAAGTGGAAACGAAGGATACTGACCGGATATTTTTCCTGTATGCACCCATATGTGACCAATCCTATCAGTGATTCGCCCGAAACGGTTTCAGTCTTCTTGTACCTCATTTCCATGTAGAGCTGTGCTCTGCGATCAGCCTTGGTTGCCGCAGGCTTTTGGAACTTAATTGTACGCCAACGTTTCAGCGGGTTCCGGGAGCGGGGGACAGGGCCCGCCTCTTGGTGGAAATTCGCTCCTTCCGCAAAAAACAACGAACTCCAGAATTGAAGCGCCAGAAGCAGGAGGCATAGGCGTGTCCAGACACGGGTTTTGGCCATGGTGCCACGCGCGACCACGCGGTCGCTCCTGTCACCCTCGGAGATCCTGAAATCGGTGCACAGAGTGGAATCTCAAAACAAAAGTTTGGTTAGTACGGCACGTAAGACATAAAGTAATCTTAGCCCTCGGTTGAAAATTTCAAGAGAAAAAGCCAGCTAGGTTTCCTGCTTTCCTAGAAAAATGTAATAAAAAACGAGTGATTAAGTTACCAAAGTCGCAATCGCTTGAGTTCATTTTTCCTATCTCTCCTTATTTTCTGCAATATAGGCACCGCAAATCGTTCCAAAATCAACACAAAATTTGTGTTGAGTTGTGTTTCACTGTCTATATTAGTTAAAGTAACACAAAATAACCTTAGCCTTCAGTTGAATATTTCAAGAGACAATGCCAGCTAGTTTTCCTGAAGAAATGTAATGAAAAACGAGTGATTAATTTACCAACTTCGCAATCGGATGAATACATTTTTCCCGTCTCTCCTTATTTTCTGCGCTAAATTCACCGCATATTGCACCAAAATCAACACATAATTTGTGTTGGGCTGTGTTTCTCTGTATTAGTTACGTAACACTAGAACTCGATTATTTTAATCGGTGTGGAACCGTATTCGTTGTCATTTCTTAAACCACTCCTTCCTTTGGGCCTTATATAATTTACATTTTGAAGATGGGAGGTTTTAGGAAATTCTTAACACGACATCATGCATTGGACAATTGGAAGTATTTCTACCAAATGGAACTATGTGCATCATGACATGAGTCCTATTACGCTTACTTTCCTATGAGTCTCAGGGCTAATGTATAAATACACATAGTTACGTTTGACAGAAATACGTCCAATTCTTGCAAATTTCGAGTCGAATTCAGTAATGAAACTGCAATTATTTTTGAGGGCCCTGAATGATTTGCCTTTGCAACAAGCATTAAGTACTGAAGGCAAAATTCTAGTATTATTATAATTACTATATCTATATCATAGGATGAAAACATAAACAGCGGAAACAAGACTAAAAACACACTATTTTGCGCAGAACGTTTCGGTGTCTCACGACTAACTCCAATATCAAAACCGCTGAGAAGAAAGGAAATAGAAAAAAAATCTCTATTAATCCCTCTTTATTTTTAGCGGTTGATAATGGTGTCGTGTGACACCATAGCTTCCCGCGTAATTCTGTGTGTTTTCAGCCTTGTTTCCGCGACGGAGCACAGGGGAGATTTTCATGAGCCGCCCTGCGCCGTCCGCAGCGCGCATGCTGCACGAACCGCCTTTTCTTATTACACTTCATATAGCATTGAGAGTTCACTCATTACTTCATACGACCAGTGTGTAATTTTAAAAGTTGAAAATAAAAGAAATAAACAAACTATATACGAGTTTCTCCGCCAGGGAGCTCTCCCCGCCAGAAATCGTTCACCACCCGCCCGCCGGGAACGCCGCGGCTAGGGTGTCCCTTATTTTTCAAAGTTGAGAAATTTTCAGGGGCAGGTTTTTTCAAAACGCGATGCGGCCCGATAAAATAAGAAATCGTTTTGAAAAAAAATAAAAAATGAAAATTTAGGTGTCTCTCTTAAGGGCGCAGGTGTAAACATGGATAAATTGGCAGAAGTACAGTCTTTTCATAGTGGAATTCCTAGAAGTGCGGTTCTTCAGGGCAAAAATTTCGTCCGTTTGGCCGTATCTTTGATGGTTTGGCCGCTTCAGGTCGGTATACGTGCATGCCGCGACGTACTCGCAGGCGCGAAAACTCATGGTGGCGCGCGACGGATCAGCGCCCCCCCCCCCCCCGCCGCCGCGCTGGCCGCACATCAATCAATGAGCATCTAGGAAATGGAAACTGCTACAAAATAATCAATACAGGAGGTTGGAGTTAACAGATGTATTAAAATATTTAACACACCATAAAAATAGAAAAACAACGAAAACGAGTTATAATGGTATAATCCAACTTAATTTCTACCGGAGAAAGAGCTATTAATCTAACATATTTTCTGCATATTTTGATACGCGCCTCCACTCCTCATAAAAATGTAAACATTTTTAAAAACGTGGACACAATGTATCGCAGGGATTCTACATTTTTCATTCCATATTGGAATTACCAGATCAGAGGTTTTCCACGCACTGTCATTGACATTCATGTGCAAACACCTCACATGGTAGAAAAACACTTGGAGCACTTCCCGCATTTTGGGCAATTTTCTTTCATCAAATTTTTCTTCAACTCCAATTAAATTTAATCGCGTTTGATCGCGTAAGGGGCTTACTGTTCGACAACATATTAAAATATTTAACACACCATAAAAATAGAAAAACAACGAAAAGAGTTATTAACGAAATTTCAATACATCAAAAGAAGTTTTCTAAATCTCTGGCAGATATTTTTCTCTTCCTTTTATCTTTCTTTTTATTATACTCTGCTGACACAGGCATTAAATCATGATATTCCTTCTCTGCTGAGACTTAACAAATGGTGAAATAACAAATGTATTGACCTCAGTTTATATTGTCAGTTTGGTGAACGTGATCTTTTCCTAAAACTGTCCATGGACCAACATTGTACACTGTGCCGAAAATCTCAGCCCATCTCCGTAAGCAACTCCTGTAAGGTTCCATTGTCTGTGTTACTGGATCCTGCAAATCTGATCGTTGGGGATTTAAAAAGTACATGTTTCTGTTCTGCACGTCACAATAGATCAATGTCCAATGGCCTCAAGTTGGGTTGAAAAGAATAAAAAATTTCGTTGCAACCCGGTGAGGAACCAAGTTACTCAGGAAGGAGTCTCGTAACTTAAGTGTATCACTAATTTTCTTACCAAGATCTGAGGCGGAAAAATATTACGTCATGAAATTGTTAATGTAATCACAAGTTGGATTATCCTTTATCAAAGTGTATAGGAATGCATCAATTACAGCACTATTCGTCCAACCTTTCACAAATGGTGCCAAGCCACGTATCGCGAGCATTTATGGTTCTTAAACCATTAATGTGATCTACCTCCTGATCACTCAAATCAGCATCAGGGGATTTCAATTCAAACATGGTTATGTGTTCACCATAAATTGTAAAAAGAGGTTTTTGTAATTCAGCCCAACTGGATGCAACATACTCTCCTAGCTGTGACTCTGATAGTATATCAACATCATGTTCCACTCTCCACAACTGCTTCCTTAAAGATGCGGGGGGATCGAGTGAGGATTTTTTTGTCTTCTCTCTTTTTTAGGGTTCTAAACAACGTATTTGGTTGTTTCTCCTTCTTCTGGTTAGGAGATATTTTTTCATGGTCCATCATTGGTAAAGGAGGAAATGAAACGGACTTTGCCATGACTTAATCAAGCATACTTTCAAGTTGTCATGCGGTGCCGTGGATGTGGTCCAATAGACTCTCTCGCACTTATTCGGTGTCTAACCCATCACTAAGCTTTTGAAAAATTCTTCTACAATCCAAAACCATACGGCTTGCTTTCGCAATTTGAAAAGGTTTGGTTGAAGATGGCGGAGTAGAATGGAGTTTCCAACCTTCAGTTTCTTCAGCATCTATGAGGCTAAGTAATCTCAGAAGACTTGGTCCTTCTGGTGATGGAATGGACTTTGTGCACATGTTTACAAAGAGGAAAAAGATTTTCACAAGAACATACATACACATGAGACAACGAAAAGAGTTATGAACGTAATTTCAATACATCAAAAGAAGTTTTCTAAATCTTTAGCAGATATTTTTCTCTTCCTTTCATCTATTTTTCTATTATACTGTGCTGATTTTTTTATTGTACTCTGCTGACACTTGCATTAAATCTTGGAAGTCCTCCTCTGTGGTGACTTACCTATTATATATGTCTGTACTAATTTAATTGCCCTGTCGGCGTGGTCATTCACATCTACAAGTGATGAAACAACTTTACGGGCTTTTTGGTAATCAACATTGTCTGGCCATGCTGTGGGATCAATATCTAAAAAATCTAAAGGGATATTAAGTGTTTTAAAAAACTCTTAAATATTGGTTGTAAACAATGAGCTTAATTCTGTGCATTCTTCAATCGGTTCCCGTAAACTTCTGGGAGGATCAGGAACACCTACATTTTTCTTCAGGTTACGTACGAATAATATTTTCTCTTCATCGGACACTCTGAAATCGAAAATGTATAAAGACACCAATGTCTCTTAACTTCTTATCTTTGGCTGTGGAAATTTGACCCTCTCGTTCTGTTTTACGCTGACCAATGAGAAACAGTTTTTCCTCTTCGTTGTCCATCCGTTCCAACGCATTACGAGCAGCGATTTCAAATAATTTATCCACTTTTTCCTTAAAATCACGACATCTTTGTACTTGAGCGTCCGATTGCGTGTATGACTTGTTTTAAATCAAAATACACTCGTCAAAAAGTTTCGTCAGTCTTTCAGCGATATATCGTTTCGGGACGATCGGAATTCTGGATTTCTCTGTCCACATAGGAATCAACATTACGAGCAGCGATTTCAAATAATTTATCCACTTTTTCCTTAAAATCACGACATCTTTGTACTTGAGCGTCCGATTGCGTGTATGACTTGTTTTAAATCAAAATACACTCGTCAAAAAGTTTCGTCAGTCTTTCAGCGATATATCGTTTCGGGACGATCGGAATTCTGGATTTCTCTGTCCGCATAGGAATCAACATTTTTACAGTTTCCCGTACGCTGTCTTTCGCAGTCATTTTTAATAATTTGATTGTGGAAAAACACTTGCAAAACTTCAGCTGTACTCGGCAATGTTTTCACGTCAAATTTTTCACGCGCTTGGCCAACGAATAGAATTTCGGATTTATGTACACTAACACTTCTAGTCCTAGGACCAGCCATGGAACACTGAAATACAGGATCACGAACACGAGATAATCATGATAACACATACATATTCGCGACACAAGCGAACACATGTTAACTGATCGGGCATAGAGTTTACCTACTTACCTCTGGAGGACTCTGATAATGGAAAACCCCAAATGGGAATTCATGTCGTCCCCGATCTTTGGACTGCACACGTGTTCGTTGCAGTCCTCTGCAACTCAAATTTCAGCTTATAATCCAGGAATGCCCACACATAGGTTGAATAATTGGTCCAACGACTGATATTGAGATCGCC